TTTACCAAAATGAGTGCTTCGAATTAATCGGCAAGGTTTTTAAGTAAATACGTCTTTAACCCTGCCACCCAACCCCCCCCCCCCCGGGCATTAGTACTTAAGGCTGCAGTAAAAAAAAATGTTTTTACCCTAATCAATACTATTCTCCAATGTGATAGTAAAAACTTCCGAGATTTAACATCTTTTGGTTGTAAACTAAGATACTAAAGATATTTCCCCTAATTAACAAGTGCACGTCTCACAGCTCTCGTACGCAGCAAATTTCCCCCTTTTATACCAAGTGCTCATTTCATAGCTCTGGATCGCACCAAACTCTCTATAATAACAAGTGCACATTTCACAGCTCTGGATCGCACCAAACTCTATAATAACAAGTGCACATTTCACAGCTCTTGATCGCACCAAAAACTCTTCTATAACAACAAGTGCACATTTCACATCTCTCGTTAGCCCCACCCCCAACCCCCACCCCATATCTCCCCTAACCGCATGAAACACATATCAAAGCTGCGTTTCTTCACATCTCCTTTGCGTGAGGCAAATTTTATAAGGCAATGGGGAACATGAGAGACCGAATCTGTCCTGGAGCGTTGGCAAACTGGCGCTTTGAGGTACACTGAAGCTGTAGCGTTGGATCAGTGTGGTCAAGAAGATGAAGAGCTCCATCTCTGCCAGGGCTTTTCCAAGACACATCCGTTTACCTGAGAAATATAAAGAAAAACGTGCTTCTTATTCAAAGGGCATTGGCCTCACTTATCACACACCCTTTCTCTACAGCTGTTGACTAAGGTTCGTGTATGATTTGAGAATTAGATGACGTCAACAGAATCATCAAGTCCTTGTCACCTGATCAGTGGCATGAAGAGGTTCCGTGATACCCAGAGAAAAATTCCATGGAGAAGTTAAGAGTTTGTGACGCAAAGGTCGCTCATTGACTTTCCCGTGTTCATTCAATGTAAGAAAATCACAAAACATACAGAAGACCTATCAATCATAAGATATATATATGTATATATATATATATATATATATATATATATATATATATA